CAGGATCCTTGTTGCCTGTATAGCTGGGTGATAGAGACTGTCTTTTTCATTAGTATTTTATTTATTTATTTTATCTCTTCCTTTATAACTGATTCTAGCGTTGGTTTACCTAAAGACATTCCAAAGATCCCTCACGGTAAGTCTACAATTATTCATTAGAGCAGATTTCGTATGAGTGGGAAACGGACGGTACTGTACTGTGACCGTAATCGTACTGTAACCAAATTCTAGTGCCCCATTGGTTCACCAAAAATGTGAAGGCCAGGTCCGGTAACTGTGCGGTAACGGTGTCCCACTCATATGAAATCCGCTCTACACTGCATTGTTTTATGAATGTGAATGTGTTATGGCAATGCCTGGTTAACATGCATGCGCAACACAAATGCATCTTACGTTTGTATTTCCAACCTATGGTCTATTGAAAGTGCTACTTGCATTTGCAATTTTCATGTTGACTAGGTTTACGAAAAGCACCAATATTTTGTTTACTTATCTAACATGATAGTAATAATTTATGATCTCAGATAGTCACATGCAATCCCATGCATTTCTCACACAATTTTCAAAATATAAATACTTTAAAAGCCATCAACAAAATCTAATAAGTACTCCAATGATTTTATAGCTGAAGTTCGTTTGGATGCACTATTTGTTTATGGGATACAAGATCTCCATACCAAAGATGTTTTTGAGTATTTCCAAGATTATGGACCAGGGTCAATAGAATGGATAGATGATTATAGTTGTAAGTATTTACAAAATTTTCTTAATCTTGAAAGTATAAAAAATAAACGGTGGACACGTGGCTAATATTGCTGGATATTTTAATTCCTCTATGATTTTATGCATACGACACTGTAAAGAAACACTATACACTATTGTGGTAATCATGACTTTCAAAAATGGCATGATATGTCACGTATATATGGGCACTGGGSATAAAGCACTAAAATGAGGTCTCAAAGGTCAGCCTCCATAAAGTACTAGTAAACTTWGATGGTGACAACAATACATCTTTTAAACTTTTGGACACTATACATACATGCGATATTCGTAGTGATTTCTAGATGAAAGGTCTTTGATGTCTCATTTCCATAATTCATCACTAGTCACTATTTCCCCAAATATGGTGGTCATGAACTATTACCAAGTGGTGTATACATGCAACAACAGTTATTATATGCAATTATCTTAAGGTAATGTTGTTTGGGATGATGAACATTCAGCAGTCAGAGTTTTGGATTCCATGGGAAAAGATCTAGACATATGTGAAATGGGTATGTGATTGTTGTTGATTAATTGATAGGAAATCTACCATGCTATTATTTTCTGGAAWATCCAGAGCCAGGAAATATTTCTAAAATGCAATGTGTTATTATACTAACTCGCCTTTCTCCTCCCTCTCCCTCTCCCCCTCCCCGTTCCTACCCCACCCTCATTACAATGCCCCTGTTTGCTATAAATATACAGGTAAGTCAGAGCAAAAATGAGCTAAACTCAAATCATAGTCTCTGTTGTAGATACAAGCGATACCAATAAATTAGTTTGGAAAGCAGGACCACCTTGTAAAAAGGCAGGCTGTAAATTACTGATGAGACAAGCAACAAAAAGTAAGTGATGCTAAGTGTTAATTAAATTGTCCTAGCACATAGAACAAAAAGTAAGTGATGCTAAGTTTTAGTTAAATTCGTCCTAGCACATAGACAATTTGTACTGCACATGGCTGTGGCATGCTAGCGCCAAGCATTGTTTTGGTGCCAATTTGCCAGTCAATTGAACAATGTTCAATTAATCAATGTTGAAAACTGCTTGCTTGTTCTGCTTGCATAACCAAAATTGGGGCTTTCTCGCGCCAAAGCAACATGTATTGAACAGTACAAAATGCCTCTATGCTCCTCCTCCTCTCCTCATTTTCATCATCCTCACTACCCTTGGGCTTCCTGTCTGTCTCACAAGTCCTCCTGAACCAGAGGTACATCATCGGGATTAGGCATGAAGATAATGACCAAATCAAAGAGACAATAATCAACAAATTTAACCCAGAGTAGTGATAGTAATATCAGTGACGATGAGGATGGATTCACTAAGAATAAATGTTCTTATTTGACTACAATAACAGAAGACAAGAAACAAGCTGGCGCAGCTAAACGAAGCATGTATTATCTTGTCCATGGCCACCCAGACCAGTCACGAGGTAGAGGCATTATTTGACACTAAAACTAGTATAAGTAGCAAATTTCTAGTGTGACATGAGGTGAGATTTTTGCACCAATTGTTTTGCAGCCAAAATTGTGCTTGTAAACAGCCTTAAAATTATTCATACCTTTTTTTTAAAAAAAAAAATTATTCACACCTATTTCAAGGTAACAGTTCACAGGTTTATTGCAGCAAATCCATACATGCTTGACAGTTTTAGTGCAATCGCTGCAATTTCACTTGAGCTATAACGTTGCAGACTGCTTAGACATGCAACAGAATTGCCACAGAAATTTCAGCTCATTTCGCACTACAAAATTGGAACTGYAATCATGCCTTGCATGGCTTCAATACACAATTCTACATGATTWTGAACACACAATGTATCTATAAAACATCCAAGTTTAAGTCTTATCTTGGTTTATAGGAAATAGTGGAGTAAAAGGGCTTGTGAGTAAATCAAGGTACTGAATTATCTGAATCATCTCATCACAACCATTGTTATCATAGCTTCATTTTATCATTCGTCATCATTATTTTTGACATGGCTAACACATGGTTTTTTAAATAGCCTCTTTTACATTGGTAAATTTATATTCTTTCTAGACTAATATCACATCTCAGCCTCCCCTTCAATCCACTTATGATATGCCCCCCTACTTATGAAAATGTTGCACCACCCCGTATTGGTGTTATCATACTCTACATCATCATCATTGACACCGTAATCATCATCATTATCAGTACATGGGCCATCAGTATCGTTATCTTTATCATTGACATCGTAATCATCATTATCAGTACATGGGCCATCAGTATCATTATCTTTATCATTGACATCGTAATCATCATCATCATCAGTATATGGGCTATCGTTATCTTTATCATTGACATCGTCATCATCATTATCATCAGTATATGGGCTATCGTTATCTTTATCATTGACATCATCATCATAATCATCATCAGTTTATGGGCTATCAGTATCATTATCAGTACATGGGCCATCAGTATCATTATCTTTATCATTGACATCATCATCATCATCATCATCATCAGTATATGGGCTATCTTTATCTTTATCATTGACATCATCATCATAATCATCATCAGTTTATGGGCTATCAGTATCTTTAACTCAATTACAATCCTAAATGTCACACCTTCAGGAAAAGAAAGATTATGCAAGAACAAGAACGAGCAAGGCACAAGTCTTCTGGGGAGCCTGATGTTGCTTTCATTGACAAAATAGAAACAGAAGAGGAAAAGATGGAGGTTGACGAACCTSCTCTTAAGGTTGTGGTAAAGAACGATAGGACAACTGAAGAAGTCTTTGAAGATGACATACCACAGAGACTGCGAATGCGCATGCATGCAGACAGTCCAGAAAAATCCAAGATTAAAGACAGACTACAGGAAAGATTGCAGCCTGATATAGAAAATAATCTCAAAACTTCATCGGGTGATTTGAGGGAAAGGTTAAAAAGCCGCCGAAAACATGGCTTTGATTTTATTGACAGGCCTTCACTTTCTATAGAGATACGAGAGGAAGAGACATAGGACTTTTAATTCATAGAATTTCTTACTTTGTAAATTTAGTATTTTTCATYTAAACACAAGGTGTCCAACAAAAACAAATCTTGTTTTGAATKCCAAGCACTAAAAGTGGCTACACAAACGTCTTTGGAATGATAATATAAGTTTTGGTATTTATTAGAGTAGTTCTTATTTTGTAAAAAGTGTCTGTCTTTTTTATTACCCCTTATGAATGTATGCAAGAAATACTCTTCAGTTAAGTACCAATGCACAAGACATTAAAAGATATAAGACTTTTGTTGCATTGTGTCCTATTCTATAGTACAACAAACGTAAGTGATATTATTTATAAAAACAACAACACTGACAACAACACAACAATATTTATCCTGTGGAGATGAGCATGCAGATTTTCTTTGTTGATAATTTGATTAGTCTCATATTAACGTGTATAATGACTATATTGTACTCGAATATTTCATTTATTTCAACAATCCTGCCATTTTTCAAGTAAATATAAAATTCTTTTGCACAACTCCATAATAAGTAATGATGTAGTTTATGATTTAGGATTTTCTTACCAGAAGTATGTAGATACGTTTATTTTTACAGTAAAAAATCTAGAAAAATGCTGGAATCTACTAGAAATACGAGGTACTTTCGCCATTATTCTAGAATGACGAAAAGTTTTGAATGGGTTCCCTGTGATATAGTGACACAGGAAGTCCAGTTCAAACTTTTTTAAACAGAAGTGTTCATTTTAATCGCAAGGTTTAAATGAAAAAGCAAAATAAAATAGAATAAAGTCCAAGTGGATAAATATGATCATTTTTTGTGAATTATCTAGTCTGCCAGAAGTGTTTTCTGGTATTTTTCTGAAAAGATTGAGGGGGACTGGAATGTTTACAAAATGGCGGATCATTCTTGAAGCGTGTAGAAAGTGGTTGTAGAAAGTGCGAGAAATTTCTTTTTTCCTTTCAAGAACTTTCCAGTAAATTCGTTCTTACTATTTTTGCTGACGAAGGGTGAGTAATTTGTTTTTAAAATGAATTGCGTTATCGTATATTTTTGGCTCGAACCTTCTCGATTCTGTGCTAAGCAGTATAAATATGAGGTCKGCTGAGCGARCCTCAAATTCATCYGAAACGAAAGTCGAGATAAAGCTACAGAAGAAATACARGAAACTACTACAGCTACAGAGAAGATGGYGAAAGCTATTGGAATCGATCTTGGTACAACATATTCATGTGTTGGAGTGTTTGAAAATGGCAAAGTAGAAATTATCGCCAACGACCAGGGGAACAGGACGACACCAAGTTACGTTGCATTCAACGATACAGAACGGCTCATCGGAGACGCAGCTAAGAACCAGGTGGCGTTAAACCCCGAGAACACTATCTTTGATGCTAAGAGACTTATAGGTCGTAAATACGACGATGCAAG